GGGGGGGCAGGAAGGGGGGGGGGGGGGGGGAGCATTTTGTATTTTCTGTTATATGGTGCCTATGGGCTACACCATGGTTTTTGCTGGATTAAGTTTTCACCAGTTTGGCCGGGGGGGGGTGTGTTCCTGGGCTAGGGAGCTAACTCCTGCAACACCTCATGGGTTTGCTGCTTTCTCTTACCAGCACAGTGACTTGCACTGGCATTGCTCTACACCATCACCACACCGGCACCTGGCCAGGGTGCAGCACCACTGGGGTACTCCATTGATGCATCTTGGAAATAAGCTGGTATATCTCCAAGACTTGCCGATTGTAGCACCTCATTGACTCCCTGTGCACTTTTGGCCCTCCCTGGGATTGTGCTGTTTTGTTTGGAAATGGGCAGTTGAAGCTTGTCATGGCACTAAACAGCATCACTAGCCATGTCAATGTTAATCATATTAACCATGTCACCGTTAATCAGTCATACTGGGTTCCAAGGCCCAGTTTACGCACTACTATTGTGGAATACTTGCTTGCTGCAAACCGCCTTCAAGTAATTGGGGTCCATGTTGCATTGGTAATGGCTTATCAATGCAGTGGGTGGCCAGCTACAATTATGTACTTGCCACATGAGAGTCAGCAGTCCCAACCGAGGAGCAGGGAAGGGAAGTAGCCATGCAATCCAGCTGTTTGATACAATTACTTATTAACCTGATGTGGATAAATTTGTTCTCACCAGCAATCAGGCTGCCTCAGAAACACATGAATAGCATCTGCCCTGCTGGTGCAGAGTTTCAAGCTGGGTTGTCATCAGTATGCTGATGGCACCCAGCTGTATCTGTCAATGGACCCCAAATAATTTGGCTGAAGGGTTGGAGGCCGTGGTTGCATGGTTGAAGCACAGCCCCAAATAATTTGGCTGAAGAGTTGGAGGCCATGGTTGGATGGTTGAAGCAGAGCCCCAAATAATTTGGCTGAAGGGTTGGAGGCCATGGTTGGATGGTTGAAGCAGAGCCCCAAATAATTTGGCTGAAGGGTTGGAGGCTGTGGTTGGATGGTTGAAGCAGAGCCCCAAATAATTTGGCTGAAGGGTTGGAGGCCATGGTTGGATGGTTGAAGCAGAGCCAGCTGAGACTGAATTCATCCAAGATAGAGGTTTTGGGGCTGGGGAGGTTTGGGGCACCAACTTCCAGCTCTGGGAGGCATGCTGTTAACCCAAGTAACCACTGTTAAGAGCCTCAGTGTGCTTCTGGATGCCTCCCTATCAATGGAGGCCCAGATCACAAATGTTACCAGATTGGTGTTTCCTCAACTTTGTCAGGTCAGGCAGCTGACCCCCTTCTTGTCTCGCCCTGACCTAGCCACAGTAATCCATGCAATGGTCACCTCTAGGTTAGACTACTGTATTTTGCTCTATGCAGGGCTACCCTTGAAATTGACCCAGAAGATGCAACTGGTCCAGAATGTGGTGGCTCGGGTTCTTACTGGAACCCCACTAACAGCTGATATCCAAATGGTGTTTCGCCAGCTGCACTGGCTCCAGGTTGCATACTGGATCAGGTTCAAGTTTCTGGTATGTCATCACCAAGCATGCTTTAAAAATCAGGTCAGGTCCGAAATAAAAGCCGTATGGAGGAATGCGCACTTAACTCGTTATTGCGATATTATGGACAAAAAAGGTATACTTCCCAAAATGTTATTAGAACAAAAATTAAACCAAGTCATCCCGTGGTTTCTATACTTCCAAATAAGACACATGGTTGAACTCCACAAGATCTCAAAGATCATCTCACTTCCTCACACAGAAATGGAGCTCATAATCAAGACGTTTCAAACACAAAACAAGGGTCTTATTTCGGCCCTTTATAAATTCCTACTCCAAGACTCATTTTCGAAAAAACTTTCTTACCAAAAAGCTTGGAATCTGGATTGTAATAATGAATTAAAAGAAGAACACTGGCTCAAACTATGGTCATCCAAAGGGGGAACTCCGAGATCTTTCCCAGTTGAATTTCACAAATTTAAAATCCTTTCCCGTTGGTACCTTACTCCGGTACGCTTATCCCATATGTCATCCAATCAATCCAAATCTTGCTGGAAAGGTTGTGGTCAAGAAGGGACGTATGCACACTGCTGGATGCATTGTGAGCAAATTAAAAAATTCTGGTCTACAATTATAAAATTTATCAAACGGATGTTAGACATTGATATTCCCCTTAAACTTGAATTCTTATTATTAGGACTTTGGCCTCAGCACATCGAGCAACATCACTACAGAGACACACTAGAAATTATGCTCTATGCCGCAAGGCTTTCAATAGCGTCATATTGGAAGGACCCCAACCCCCCCACTGACCAAGTTTGGTTCAAGAAATTATGGGATCAATTCTTGATGGAAAGCATTACTGACAAACATAACACTAATGCCAGACACCCATTGGTTTCTAAGTTCACTGCGAAATGGTTCCCAGTACTGTCTTTTCTAGAGTCCGAAGAATTCATCTCTCCTCAATGGAAGAACTATATCAAATGGATTTAATTAATCCATAACGTCATTTTGTTCTTTATATGTGCATTTATTTTATTTAGACGGATGTTTAACCAATCACCTTATACTTCAGCTTTATCTAATTTTAACGCTCAGTTGTTATTCTACAATTATAAATCTTTGCTCATACATCTCTTACCTCTTATGGTATGTATAGGAAGTCTCTCAGGAAATCAATTGGTATGTTTACAATTTTTTCCAGTTGTACACAGTTTGTATATTATAACGCTTTTCGAAACAACATAGTTTTGTATAATTGTTAATGTGTTTTACCTTATCTCAGGGGTACAAAGTATTTACCCCCTGCATGTGTAACCAATGTTGAATCTCAACTTGTCATTTTTATTGTATTAATATTATTCTTAATAATAAATTGTTATTAAAAAAAAAAGTTTCTGGTATGAACCTTTAAGGTCCTAAATGGTCTGAGACTAACATACCTTCAAAACTGCCTCTCCTGGTACACCCCCTGAAAAGCACAGTGCTCACCTGAGAAAAATCTGGAGATCCCTGACCCCCCAAAACATCCGGCTGTCCTCAGCCAGAGCCAGGGTTTTTTCAGCCCTGGCACCGACTTGGTGGAACTCCCTGCCAAATGACATCCGCGCCCTGTGGGACCTGGTTCAGTTCCGCAGGGCCTGTAAGGCAGAGATGTTCCACCAGGCTTATGGTTGAGGACAGCAACGTTTTCTTTTTTAATTAGCTTGGCCTC